CTGTCCATTCTTGGTCATTGGGTGACCCTGTAGCTCCAGTGGCTCCCCCTCAACACATGGCCTTGGCTTTCTCTCAAGGTGTTGTTAGAATTTCCCAGCATATAAACTCTTTGACTTTAGGAGCACAAAGGGCTTGAAGTGGGGGCATTTAAAGCCAAGCAAAGTGCTTCAATGAAGAACAGGAGGGAAGGCAAAGGCAGATTCATGCTCAGTGGACCATTATAAGGTAGATGTTGTCCCCCTGCCAGGGGTGGAGGAGGGAACGGGGGCTTGGTTCAGAGTTTTCCAATGACCCACCTAACATTAGAGTCCCACTTACCAAGAGGCATCATCATTGCCACCTCCATGGAGGAGATGGTACAGCTGTACCCTCTGTGGTGTATGTGCACATCAGGTACCCTGGCCTTCTGTGCTGCATCCATTCCCATTCCTTGACTTGAAACCTAAAGGGGAATTTCTGCTCCCTGGGTGGCCACAGAACCTCCAGCCAGTCTTAGAAGATCTCTGAAAACAGAACAATCATGCTATTCTTTCAAACCTTGCTGTTGAGGAACCCAGAAAGCATTCCTAGGTTGCCAAAGCATTATCATTTCTCCCAGGGTATCTCTAGGAAGCTACTTGGGGAAGCTGTCCTAAGGAAAAAATGGACATTGCCTCAAGGCATGAGGGCTTGTGACCCTATGGATGCACATCTCAGGATAGTCTGATGATTGGGTTCCACAGTGACCACAACTGAAGTCACCCACACAGCAGGATCACAATATTTTCTAATTAAAATATCCCCAAGTCCCAAATTGTAGTCCTAATGTAGCCAAGTTGATAATTTATGGAAGACAGCAATGCTGAGCACGGTGCTTGACAATCCCCCACCAAGAGCGAATGAAAATGTGTCTATTGCCAAGTAAATAGAACTCCACATACCCTGTAAATACTGCATGCTGAGGCCACAAATACGCATCACTGTGACAGGTCACAAGCATTGAATGTGCTGGTAGAAAATATATTACATGCCTCTGTCACTTCTGATGCCCAGAATGCCCTCAAGGGATGAGGCCAACCTTCTGTTTTGCAAACCAGGAAGATATGATGATAAATAAAAATTCAGAATACACGGTGAAGTGACCCATTACTGACACTGGGCTGTGAAGGATTAAGAATTTGTGGTGGTTTGAAAGAAAATGGCCCCCAAAGGGAGTGGCACTAATAGGAGGTGTAGCCTTGTTGGAGGAAGTGTGTCATTGTGGGGGCGGGCTTTGAGGTCTCCTTTACTCAAACTTCCCTCAGTGTGACTGTCAGTTGACTTCCTGTTGCCTGAAAGATGTAGGACTCTCAGCTCCAGCAACATGTCTGCCTGTATACCACCATGTTCTCCATCATGATGATAATGGACTGAACCTCTGAAACTGAAATTGAGCCACCACAATTAAATGTTTTCTTCATAAGAGTTACCATGGCCATGATGTCTCTTCACAGCAATAAAAACCCAAACTGAGACAGAATTGTTCCTATTTATGTCAGGCATGGTGGCACATGTCTTTAATCCCAGCATTCAGGAGGCAGAGGCAGGTGGATCCCTTAGTTGGAGGCCAACCTGGTCTACAAGAGTTCCAGGACAGCCAGGGCTGTTACACAGAACAGCACTATCTCAAAAAACAAACAAATCACACAAACAAACAAACAAGAATTGTTCCTATTTTTAAAGCCCTGAGTGGCAGCATGCACCTACAACCCCAGGTGGGGTTGTAGAGCTAGGTGGGGGTGGGGGTGGGGGTGGGTGGCTAACAGGCCAGCCAGGGTAGACAAATGGCAAGATCCAGGTTCAGTGGAGGATGAGGAGAATACCTGACGTCAACTCTGCCCTCCACAGGTACACACACATACACGAGGGGTGGGAGTGGGGGTGGGGAAAGAGACACAGAATTGCTATTTTTAAGTATGCTTATCCTAGTTAATTGATTGGTGTCTAGAGATTCCTAAGCCAAAAATAATAACAAGATGAAAACATCTGGTACTGATCCCAGAGCATGTGAAGTCTACTGTGGCAATTCTATTTATTAGTAGTCCCACTACCCTGAGATGGCTAGTAAGAAATATTGAAATATTGCTATATTTCTTTCTAGCTTCTTCTTCTCCTCCTCCTCCTCCTCCTCCTTCTTCTTCTGTTTTTTTTTTTTTTTTTTTGTAGCTGAAGTTTTTTCCAGTCCTGCCCAGCCCCATGGACCCTGCAGCCACTTAATAAAATAATCACTCGGAAGCTTATATTAATTAAAACTGATTGTCCATTGGGTCAGACCTACCACTAACTAGCTCTTACATTTAAACTCAGCCCATTTCTTTTGATCTATATGTTGCCATGTGTTCTGTGGCTTTTCCTGTGTGCCATTACATGCTGCGCCCTGGACAGCGGGCTGGCATCTTCTGACTCAGCCTTCCCAGAATTCTCCTTGTCTGCTTATCCCGCCTATTCTTCCTGCCTGGCTACTGGCCAATCAGCATTTTATTTATCAGCCAATCAGAGCAACACATATTCACAGCATACAGAACATCCCACAGCATGTGTTTGTTGTTGTTTTTGAGAGTTACTCTTTGTAACACCCCTGGCTGTCCTCGAACTCACTCTGTAGACCAGGCTGGCCTTGAACTCACAGAGATCTGCCTACCTCTGCCTCCCAAGTGTTGGGATTAAAGGCACATGCCACCACCACCCAAGTTTTTTTCTAGCCTTTTTCCCCACCTATATACCACATGCCAATATTAGAACATGATGATTAAATGTATAGTTCTCAGCTGTTTCATTTGCTTACTATTGCTTTGTATATACTTCTTATATTCTTCAGAATCAGGGGTTTTAATGTACGTGACAGTATAGTATGTGGGTGTTTTATGGTTACTTAAGTAAATCCATTCACATAACATCTCCAAACTTTATTATAAGAATCCCATGAAAATCTTCATTATAAATCCATCTGCATTGATCATATTTCTTTCTTAGAAAATATTCCTTGAAGTGGATGACCTGGTCCACAGAGTATGAAGATTTTCAGATTTCTAACGACACAGGGCCAACATTTTCTTGGTCTATACACCTCATAATTAATTAGTCAACTATTTACTGTGCAAGCTCCTATATATGAAGTACTGGGCACGAGGAAGGAATACATTGGCCACTAAAATCAGCAGGCTCCCTTGATCTCACAGAATTTATTACTGAGACTCTCAATCTGAGAACAAGGATTTTTGTAAATTCAGAGTTCAATTTCATGCAGAATTGAGACTTTCATAAGGAGAAAGGAAAAAAAAAAGGCAGTCCCTGCCTCTCATCATGCCATTTATGCATGATTCCCACAAACAAATGGTACTACAGCGCGCTAAGCAATGTAGCAGCTGTCAGAGTGCCCATAAACTGTGTGTGATCTTCAGTTAGTTAAGGTCATTGTGGAATATAGAAGCCAAATTGACTCCAAATGGTTCTTAAAGGGAGAAATGGAAAACAATTATTCCATTTCCCAATTTAAAAATGAAAAGGAATAATTCACATGCCAAAGGGCTGATGCCCCCGCCCCCCGGCAATTTATCTAAGAAAAGAACATTAGGAATGGGGCAATTGGGAGGAAGAGAGAGCCTCCTGGGGACTCCTGTAAACTGTGGTGGACTGAGCTGACATGGATGGGGTTCCCTCCTGTCCCAAGTCTGGAGAGAAGTGTAACAAGGGAGAGAGGAGGAAGACAGGGCAGAGTGAGGACAACATAGCCACGTACTATACCCACGTACTACAGCCACGTACTACAGCCACGTACTACAGCCACGTACTACAGCCACGTACTACACCCACGTACTACACCCACGTACTACACCCCCGTACTACACCCACGTACTACACCCACGTACTACACCCCCGTACTACACCCCCGTACTACACCCCCGTACTACACCCACGTACTACACCCCCGTACTACAGCCCCGTACTATACCCCCGTACTATACCCACGTACTATACCCACGTACTACACCCACGTACTACACCCACGTACTACACCCCCGTACTACACCCCCGTACTACACCCCCGTACTACACCCCCGTACTACACCCACGTACTACACCCACGTACTACACCCCCGTACTACACCCCCGTACTACACCCACGTACTACAGCCACGTACGACACCCCCGTACTACACCCCCGTACTACACCCCCGTACTACACCCATGTACTACACCCACGTACTACACCCACGTACTACACCGACGTACTACACCCACGTACTACACCCACGTACTACACCCACGTACTACACCCACGTACTACACCCACGTACTACACCCCCGTACTACACCCCCGTACTACACCCCCGTACTACACCCACGTACTACAGCCACGTACGACACCCCCGTACTACACCCCCGTACTACACCCACGTACTACACCCACGTACTACAGCCCCGTACTACACCCACGTACTACACCCACGTACTACACCCACGTACTACACCCACGTACTACACCCCCGTACTACACCCCCGTACTACACCCACGTACTACACCCCCGTACTACACCCCCGTACTACACCCACGTACTACACCCACGTACTACACCCCCGTACTACACCCCCGTACTACAGCCCCGTACTACAGCCCCGTACTACACCCCCGTACTACACCCCCGTACTACACCCCCGTACTACACCCACGTACTACACCCACGTACTACACCCACGTACTACACCCCCGTACTACACCCCCGTACTACACCCACGTACTACACCCACGTACTACACCCACGTACTACACCCCCGTACTACACCCCCGTACTACACCCCCGTACTATACCCACGTACTATACCCACGTACTATACCCACGTACTATAGCCCTGTACTATACCCACGTACTATACCCACGTACTATACCCACGTACTATACCCACGTACTATACCCACGTACTATACCCACGTACTATAGCCCCGTACTATACCCACGTACTATACCCCTGTACTATACCTATGTACTATACCCACGTACTATACCCACGTACTATACCCCCGTACTATACCCACGTACTACACCCACGTACTACACCCACGTACTACACCCACGTACTACACCCACGTACTACACCCACGTACTACACCCACGTACTACACCCCCGTACTACAGCCCCGTACTATACCCCCGTACTATACCCATGTACTATACCCATGTACTATACCCACGTACTATACCCACGTACTACACCCCCGTACTACACCCACGTACTACACCCACGTACTACACCCCCGTACTACACCCCCGTACTACACCCCCGTACTACAGCCCCGTACTACAGCCCCGTACTACACCCCCGTACTACACCCCCGTACTACACCCATGTACTACACCCACGTACTACACCCACGTACTATACCCACGTACTATACCCACGTACTATACCCCCGTACTATACCCCCGTACTATACCCCCGTACTATACCCATGTACTATACCCACGTACTATACCCACGTACTATACCCACGTACTATACCCACGTACTATACCCACGTACTATACCCATGTACTATACCCCCGTACTACACCCACGTACTACACCCCCGTACTACACCCCCGTACTACAGCCCCGTACTACACCCCCGTACTACACCCCCGTACTACACCCCCGTACTACACCCATGTACTACACCCACGTACTACACCCACGTACTATACCCACGTACTATACCCACGTACTATACCCACGTACTATACCCCCGTACTATACCCCCGTACTATACCCATGTACTATACCCACGTACTATACCCACGTACTATACCCACGTACTATACCCACGTACTATACCCACGTACTATACCCACGTACTATACCCATGTACTATACCCCCGTACTATACCCATGTACTATACCCACGTACTACACCCACGTACTACACCCACGTACTATACCCACGTACTATACCCACGTACTACACCCTTCAAACCCTAACACCCAGCATCTATCCAGAACTCTAACGGCCATCAAAGAAATAATTTATTTTTTAGAACAAAGGTATAAAAAAGACATGAATAATATTTCACAAGACATATTTCACAGAATAAAAAAACATTCAGTGGTCAAAAAACATGAAAGGACACTCAGTCTCAGTACCAGGGGGATGTGTCCAGAATTCAAAGTGGCATACTGCATTATGTATATCATATTGGCTGAAATTGAAAAGCCAGAACATACTAAGTATAGACAAGCATTGCATCTTCAAAAGCTGTTTGCAATTCAATAATGCTGAGTTGGAAAATAATCTGACAGTTTCTTTCAGATAGAAAACTTTTCTGACCATAAATATCACTCCTGACCATAATGATGGAGAAATCGGACACGTGTAAGACTGTTCATTATTGAGCCGCTTATTTTGATTATATTTATTTATTTAAATTGGGTGTGTGCCCGTGTGCATGTATGTGCGAGTGCTCTCGCGCACACACACATGAATATAGGTGCCTGTGGAGGCCAGAACAGGGCGTTGTCCCCTTGAGCTGGAATTACAGGTGGTTGTGAACCACCTCACATAGGTGCTAGGAACAGAACTCCAGTCCTCTGCAAGAAAAGTTAGTGCTCCTAACTGCTGAGCCATCTCCCCAGCCCCAAGCTGCTCATTTTAAAAAAACCAAAGCTGGAGAGGCTACAATTGCATTAACAAGAGCATTAGGGGGGAAAAAAACAGAAAAGTAATGAGCTAACTATAATTTCATCTACCAATGAAGATGAACACCAAAATGCAGTCTCAGAAGAATGATAGCATTTTCCTAAAGCTTGAAATTTGGCAATATCAAGCAATGCCTCTCTAATGGCTCTGTGGAAACTCCAAGTTGTCTTCCTGGGCTTACATGTTAACGAGGGGAAACACAGGTTACAAGACCAATAAGGAAAAGAAGTGGGAGGTGATGTATAAAGTGGGATAGTGGCGGGTCTCGAGACAGGTTATAAATAAATTGATCGGAGATCTGAGACGGTGAGGTGTGAGCAAAGCCTGAAAAGGGAGCAAGACCCATGGTTGTCTGGGTGAGGAGTGTCTTTAGTGTTACACGTGTGTAGACTTGATTCCATGCTCGATGTATCAGCACTGTACAATGAGGTAAGCCGCCTCATTCACCTGACGTTAGCTCCCTCTTCCTGTTGTTTCCTGCTTCATTTCTAAAGCACGTTTTGTATTGACAGTCTTTAAAGACTTTCCCTAGACAAAGCAAGTATAATTATTGAGTATTTGTTGCTTTTCTTTCTTCTTATCTTTTTTTTTTTTAGAAAACCAAGGGTGGTAGTACACATCTGTGATCCCAGCACTTGAATTTATTTTATTTTATTTTATTTTATGTTATTTTATTTTATTTTATTTTATTTTATTTTATTTTATTTTATTTTATTTTATGTGTTTGACTGTTTTGCCTGAATGTATGTATATGCACCACATGCGTGCCTGGTTCCCTGTAGGGGTCAGAAAAGGGATTCCCTGGAACTGGAGTTAAGGATAGTTAGGAGCTACCAGGTGGGTGCTGGGAGCTGGACCCGAATACTCAGCAAGAAGAACAAATGCTCTTGTCTCTCAGCCCCCGCCCCCCTTTAAAGACAGGTTCTCATGGATCCCATTGGCCTCCAACTTACTGTACAGCAGAGAATGACCTTGAACTTGTCCACCTGGCTCCATTCCCCCAGTGCTGGGATTACAGGTGTAATCCACCACCCCTGGTTTATGTGATGCTGGGGTTCGAATCCTGAGCTGTGTGCATGCCAGTCAAGCATTCTATCCAGCTACACCCCCAACCCATAGTTACTCTCTCGGTAACTTAGTGGCCAGAGTAAAGTCTGTATTTTGTAAACCTCACAGTTAGATCAGGGGTTTTGCTATGATTTATAACTACTGCAATTTCAGAGAAAATAGATTAGATAGCTGTACCTAAGTTCAATGACCCAGTAAATATAAAATTTAAATATCCTACTGTGGCAATTGAGAATATTTTTGGCTTGACAATCAGTAGGAAGTACTGTGTCTTCTGGGAGTTGAGGCATTAGAAACATGCATTAGGATAATAGAGTTTTCAAGAGAAACTTATAAACTAGGGTGAAAATTAGATTTGGGGCTTTAGTGGCTGGGATTCTAATTTAACATGCTGTGGAATTCACCTCATCAAATGGCTGAACTAATCTCTCATGCCAACAACTGCCCGGGTTAATAAAAAAACCTGAAGCAGTTTGCATGTTAATAAATAAGAGAAAATATAAAAACTGCAGATCTCTCTCCTTCCTGAGCACAGGCTGCATATGACCCTAATGGAGCCACTTGGATGTGATGGAGGCATTCTAATTAGTGGACCACACCGCGATCATGTTTCATAGTTCCTGTTTAACAGGACTGACGCCTGTGCTCTTAAAGCGGTATTCCCAGAGATTCCATCTGATGCTGAGCTGATTACGGTATGGAGTAGATGTTCTTCTGCTGTCAATTTCATCATCTTCCTATACGGCTCCCTGTGCTAGCAATATGGCTGAGGACTGGTCTATTTTCATTAGTCACAAACTTCAAGGAAGAGTTTTCACCCATGAGCACTTTTCAAAAAAGGCATCAAAAATGTAACCGGCTGTGTGCGTTTATAAATACACAGTGTCCCATCCATCCCATCCCGAGAAGACTTTGTTAAGGGGTGAGGTGTCGAAGGGGTCTGGCATGGTTTAGGGGAAGAGGGTAATTCCCTGGGAGCCTTCTCCCCTTCGTTCCTGCCGTGGACTCTGCATGGGCCCTGCACTGTGAGGCTTCTGAGATCTTCTCTGAGTCATTGCTCTTCCCTGTCTCAGCTAAGGCCTGGTTTCAAGCCTCGCCATTTCCTTCTGGGTTTTGGTGTTTTCCTAGGGAGATAATATTAAGGACAGGGAAGCAGATAACAAATGCTTGTTAGGTACAGATCTGTGTGGCCTTGGGGTCTTCCTTGATTTATTTCAGTCCTTTTTCATGTATATTCATTCATTCATAAACTTAAACTCTTTAATTTTAAGGGCTATTTTTTTCCTTTAAGATTTATGATTACATGGCTTAATGCAATTCTTTAAAAATACTAATTTTGAACTTGGGAAGTTAATGTTTTCACCTGATCTATCATTTGGAAATTTTCTACTCTGTGATACTATTTTTTTTTCCATTGAGGATTTTTACCTTACTCTTTATTTCTTGGCTTGAAATTCTTGTTTTTCAACCCTCAACTATCTTATTTATTCAAACTTTCATTCTTGTGAAAAATTTTTACTTTCTCACATGTGTGAACAAAATATGGCTCCATATGAGCCATGAGAAGTGATATAAATTCTTCTCTACATGTTTCCTGAGTGAAATGGAAGCCAAATAACAGAGGCCAGCTGGGTCTCTCCCCTCCCCAGCATCCCCAGGCACTGTGGATGTGGTAATATTTCCACATCTCCCTCATCGACAATTTCAAAGCTTCTAGACTTCTCTTCCCAAATATAATAATAGCCAATGACAATTTATTGCCTGGAGAGTGCTTTCCTGGACAATTCTGGGAAGAATGTGGTATAAGTTTCTCTTGAAGGTAGACATAGTTTCTTCCAAAACTGGAGTATAGCAGCTATTCATAGTCTGCTTTCCTGTGTGAGTTTTTAGCCGCACAAGACCCAGTGATCTTGGAGCTAGAGACGTGGTTCAGTGGGTAAGGTGCCATGCATGCAAGCATAAGGACCTGGATTCAGATCCCCATCACCCATGTAAAATCCTGGAATGGTGTGCCCCTGTAATCCCAGCACCTGGGGGAGGTGGAGCAAACTCTGCCCAGTGAACTCCAGGTTCAGTGAGAGACTCTGTCTGAAAATTAAGGTGGATAATGATCAAGGGAGACCTGAGTGTCAACATCTGGCCTCCAGATGCACTCAGGCCAGTGAATTTAAGGCAATCCTCCTTAACACCATGACATCTTTCAATAGGGTATCCTCAAAGAAGGAGCAGTGGTCTCGGGGCAGACCTATATGATTGGTGGAATAAACATGTGTATTTATAAGTGGCCACCAATGGGATCTTGGTAGGCTCCTGGTAGAGGAATGGAGTCTCCTGGCCCATGCAGTTTTCTGACTTTCCATTATTACTGGGACCTGAAAGAGAAGGCTAATGGAAGAGATAGCCATAGTAAGGCTTCTTGCTCCTGCTGACAATTTTCTCTTCTGTTGGCCATCCTTGGACCGTCACTGGACAGCTCTAGCCCTCATGGATTGCCAGGACGTTGGAGGGATCCAGCTGCCTGTCCTAACATATCTCAGCTGCCTCTAAGGGACAGCTGGCTCCTTAGGATATTTATCCCCACCATATTTTATCCAATCTAGGGTCTTATAATATATAACATCATTTTACATTCTACCAAGAAAGAAAAACAATGCCGTCAGTTCACCCATGGCATGCCGTCAATTTTAAAATGTAGCCTGACTTTACAAGATATTAAAATGTGACAAATGTGTCTCTTAGAATCAGCAGGAAAATACTTTTTTTCCTTTCCATTTCATACCATTTGATTATTAATTCTCTTTCAAGACTCAGCCACAGAGGGTTGGGACTTGAAGCTGGAGGCCTACCTGCTTCATTACATTACATTCTGATTCATTACATTTCCCCAACCCCTGGTTCTAGCAAATGAAATACCCATCAATCCCCATGCCTCAGCCTAACAACTGAAGAAACAAAGAGCCAGAGAGACTGTCTAAATAAAACTTGGCTGGTGCAGGATTTGAACTCGGGAATTCTGACCACAATTGCACATAGCAAATCATTGCATCAGTGCATACTCAGATACAGCCTTTCCAACAATGGCTTTGGTGGAGGCGAGAGGAGAATTGTGGTGCTTTTATTATACGGACTACACTTGAAGACATGATAAATGGCTTTGCCGTTCAGAACCTATGTGATGCCTAAGCTACCAAAAATGTGGTACCCTTTGAGACCCTGTCTCAAAAAGGATGGTGGAAGCCAGGCATGGTGGTGCATGCCTTTAATCCCTGTTCTTGGGAGGTGCAGAGGCAGGTGGATCTCTGCATTCAAGGCTAGCCTGGTCTACAGAGTGAGTTCCAGGACAATCAGAGCTGTGCAGAGAAATCCAGTCTGGAAAGAAAAAAAAAAGTATGGTTGAGAGTGACTGACGAGGACACCCGACATCAACATTCAGGCATACACACACACACACACACACACACACACACACACACACACACACACACACACACACACACCAGGTACACAGACACATAAAAAATAAAATAGTTTTAAAAGAATTTTACAATGAAAGAGTAAAATGATTAGTAGTATAGTAAACATTGAAGGGCTGGAGAGAGGGCTCAGCAGCTAAGAGCACTGGCTGCTCTTCCAGAGGACTCCGGTTCAATTCCCAGCACCCACAACGGCAGTTCATGCCTGTCTGTAATTCCAGTTCCAGGGCTTCTGACACCTTCACATAGACATATATGCAGGCAAAACACCAATGAACATAAATTTTTTTTAAAGACGCTGAAACTATTGAAAAATTCAGAGAGGAATAAAACAATACAAATATTTAATATAAAGTAATACAAATTGTGAGACCAAAACAGGAATGACATACCTGCAGGGTAAGGTGTCTGTTTGTAGTTAAAGAATAAGTTGCCGTTTGTCCTGTGCCAAGTCCTTGCAAGTTAAGGTTTCTATTGGTAATTAAGAATAAGTCCCTGTTTCCTAGGTCTGATGTGAACTGCAAAGCGTATTTCCCAAGCTACACTAAACTTGCGACCCCGTTCACATGATGTGCATCCTGACCCCTGTTCCTTCCCTTTCACCGTATTTCTCTAACAGTGTATAACAGCCCACTCTGGCCCCTGTGCGCACCTTATCTCTCCTATAAAAGGACTTCAAAAGGCCGGCAGGGGCAGCTCTCTGAAATCTTGACTTAGGGAGAGTCAGCCGGACTAGCTGGTCCCAGGGGCACCCCAAAATAAAGCTTGCTTCAATTGGACTATCATGGATTTGGTCTTTCTCTTTGAAAATTTCAGGCTTCATAAAATGTCTTAAAGGCTTATTTGGGAAAAATAGTAAATCTATAAGTCTTTTTTCCCCCTATCATGGATCAATCCCAGTGCCTTGTACATAATAAGCAAGCACGGTACCACTTAACTATATCCCCAGCTCTTGGGTTGTTTTTTTGTTTGTTTGTTTTGTTTTGTTTTTGAAACAAGATCTCTCTGTGTGCTACAGACTGGCTTTGAAGTTGTTATGTAGCCTAGGCTAGCCTCAATCCCATAATCATCCTTTGTCAGCTTCCCAATCAATAAGGTTACAGGCATACACCACCATACCATACAGAGGGTATAATTCTTGATTAATTGTATAATTTTAGGACTGGGAAGAAGAAGTAAAGATATTTTAACTTACATGACAAATAGGGTATTGAAAATATATCATAAATTACTGTAAATGAAAGGAGCAATGTGTGCAACACAGACACAAACTCATCCCTGAAATGGAAAAACTGAACAAACACATCACCACCAACAACAAAAATGCAGCCCCAGCAATCTCAAGCCCATCTGAAAACATTCAGCAGTATGATAGAAACCGGACCGAATCTATATTAAAATTAAAATAAAAACAGTATTGTTCCATAACTGAAGTCAAAGTCAGACTTGGGCTTGGTTAAAGAAACACAGACAGACCAAGATGAAATCACAATCAAAGACGCAGATTAAAAGGAGAGGTGAGTGGGGCAGAGGAAGGAGGCACGTGGTGCTATCACCCAGGGAAGTTCAAAGTAAAACCATCCGCTAGAGCAGGGACCCAAAGGGCCCTTTGATACTAAAGCCAGATGAAATCTGTGAACTCAGAACAATAGCTCTGAGCATTTATGAGCTGATTAACATCACATCAAAATTGATTGAACAAAAACTATTTTATACATATAAAAGAGACAGAAACATAATTATAATGTAGCACTAAATATTGTTATCATGTATTCTAGAGCAAATTGATAAAAAAATAAGGGATGTAGCTGGCCATTTAAATAGCACAATTAACAAAACTTAATCAGTAGAAATAGCAACATTTTTACATACTAGACTTTTTTCCAATTCCACTGAAGGTTTTTCAAATCTTTAAGGAAATAGCACATAAAATTGATAGAGATTTTTTCAAATGTAATCTATTTTTAAAAGCAATTTTATTTAACTGCCCCCACCCCAAAGTCTGAAAGTAGCTGTAGGGACCCAAAGAGTGAAATTATGATGAACTTTCTAGTGTTAGGCTTTTCAATATGGTAGCCATCAATCTCCTTTAGTATTTACATTAAAGTAGTACAAGTTAAGTTCCTCAGTCAAACTTGTCATATTCTCGTGCTCAATAGTTCCTCTAAGCAAATGGCTGTCATAGGAACAGCACAGACATCTCTATATAGTTCACCACAAGAAACTTTCTTAAACACTGAGGATTGCTTCCAGAAATCAGAATTCATGAACACACCAAAGCAAATATCACATAAGAAAACAGACATAAAAGCCTAATAACAATGGTCTAACGAATGGATGGATAGGTATAACAAAGAAGGACCACATAATTAATATGTAATAGACTAGTTCATAAAAACTGCAGGAAAAAACTAATACCTTAGACTAGAAAGAACAAGGATGTGAACTAGTGGATTGACTACATAGTAAAAACTAATTTTAAAAAAAGTATATAAAATTAGTAACCCGAGGGGCTGGAGAGATGGCTCAGTGGCTGCTCTTCCAGAGACCCTGGCTTCAATTCCTAGCACCCACATGGTGGTCCACAACCATCGGTAACTCCAGTTCCAGGGGAATCTGACACCCTCTTCTGCTCTCTGCAGGTACTGCATTCACATGGGGCACAGACATACATGCAAGCAAATACACCCATTTAAAACAAGTAGTAAGGCTATTTAGTCAGATAACATATTTTCAAATAGCACATCAGTAATGATAAAATAATGATGTTGTGTGGTGAGAGGACTGCTCATAAATTACTGAAGGCAAAAATATCTTAAAGATCTGATAAACTCATTCT